ATCACTCGCTACGACGGTAGAAGTCTCCCGTACTACGGTCTCCTTTTGGATCAGAGCGGTGATCTTAAGGGCCTACAAAGCAGCAGGGTTAGAACCTCCAAGAGCATCTAACCCTCATGAAGTAAGAGCATTGGCCTCGACACTCGCCCTACATGGAAACTGCTCAATATCATCTATAATGGAAGGCTGTTTTTGGAAGTCAGACACTGTCTTCGCTAACCACTACCTGAGAGACATCTCCACGGAAGATGAATTTGGTATACATCAATTCGGACCTCTAGTCGTAGTGCAGCAACTCACTATGCCTGCCAGACGATGAAGAATCTCACCCTTGTCACTCAGACTCGTTGACGCCAGGCAACTGTTCCATTGCCATCGGCTAAGAGTCCATGTTCCCCTGTTTTACTAGATAAAACAGCGCATGAGTGATACATAGACTCAGTTATGGTAATGTTCTTGCCTTAACAGATGGGTTGCGATACCAGTTTCGGTAATGTTCTTACTGTAAACATATTGGATCGTTGCAGAATATCTAGACAAAACAACGTCTAGTATACTAAATCCACAAAACTTAAGAAGTTTACTTCTAATACGAATGTATAAGAAGGTGGTCCCCCAATTAACATCAAGATAATATTGAAGTTAGCCGCAGATGAAGAAAATTCCCAGGGGGTAAATCGAGTGAACGCTGACGTGAATACAATCATGCAGGGAATCCCGTAGGTGGCTGACCCACCACCTATCCGTCGGATTTAGAAAGCAAATAATCATGAGTCAGGATAAGGAAAAATATGTAATTTTTATGATAAAATTAATATTTTATACTTACCCGGACTCATGAGATGAAGCCCTCCCAACCGTCCCCTCTCACCACACGGGTTTCCCTGTAGACCTGAGTGGGGCATATTTCGGAGTGAGTGAGGACCAAGGCATGGGAGGTCACGTGCCAGGTTTTGGAGGGAAACCAGGGGAGGTAATAAAGGGTGAGTGATTGTACGTTCGCTTCAAGGGAATTGAAAGGATTCAAGTTTCCACTTGACCGTTCGAAGAGAGGATGAGAAAGCAAATAATCATGAGTCAGGATACAGTATAAAATATTAACTTTTATCATAGCTAAAATTACATTTTATTTGGTCCACAAATGCGGTATTTCTTGATCTGAAGATGGTATAAAATATTAATTTTATCATAAAAATTGATATAATCCACAAATTTCTTGATCTGAAGTGGCAATGAAATTGATATATTGCTTATCTGAGGTGCTGTTGCCTATTATGAGGGAATGGCGCCAATAATCTAAGGCTGCATCATTGTCATGAAGGAAGTTCTCACTAAGTAGGACTGACTGTGGTAATGAGCTCAGGCCCTGATTTCTCGAAAGAAACTTAAGTCTGAGTTTCGACTTAAGTTAGAGTTTCTTCTCAAATTTGAAAAAATGCATTTCCCATAATGAACTAAAATCGATATTAAACTCAAACATAGTAGACAATTTGAGTTTGGTGGATAGATTACTTAAGTTGTTTGGGCTTTTTTATTTAAAAAATGCAGTTGAGTTAAAAATTCAGCTGTTTTAACTCAGTTTGAAATTAAGTTTGTTTCAAGAAATCGGGGCCAGGACATTTTTATCCCCCGTCGCACGTTTAGGCGAAGCAGGGGAAATAGTATTAGGGTTGGTCTGTCCCGTATACGTGCGTACAAATTGGAATATCTTAAGAACCATTGACTAGATTCTTTTCATACTTGGTACCTAGGTTCATCATGGTACAAGAAAGGTCCCAGTCAGGTTAGGTGACCTTGACCTTCATTTCAAGGTCACAATGGGACTTTAATGTTTTACCTTTGTGAGCGAGATATCTCAAGAACCGTTCACTGGATTTTCTTCATATTTGGGACCAAGCTTCATATAGGGAAGGCACAGGGCCAAGTCGATTTTGGTAACCTTCACAAAATTTTCAAGGTCACAGCAACACTGAAGAATTCAGCATGTTGATTCCCAATATTGCGCAAATTGATGGTCATGCTGTTGATCACTGAATTGTCTGGTCCAGATCCGATTATTTACTGACTGCTGCCATATGGCTGAAATATTGCTGAGTGCGGCATAAAATTAACTTACACACTCACTCACTCATTTGATGTAAAGGGAAAATCGATGTTGTAATAAACTGAAAATGAGTGATGAACGTGTCCTGCCCTACTGTGGCACCCACCATTCATCGGTGGTTTAACTGGTGTAAAATAGACCTAAATATTCATCCATTTCTACACTCGAACTGATATTGGTTAATTGATTGTTTTAATAATGACCGATAAAACTAGTAACAACTACTTCTGTTTCAATGACTATTTAATCAGTTTAACTATCTTTCGGCATTGTAAAGCGGGCAAAATGGGGCTGTTGGTAGATTTTACTATCGCTTCCATCGGCTATCTCAATTACCACTAACAATCATGGAAAAGATATGTACGAAACAGTGATAATTTTTAACATGCACCACAGAACAGAAAATGATCAGCAAACGTTTGCGATACAGCTAACTTTGATTGTGCTCTGTAGAGAACCGATAAAGATAGCAACTGTAGTAAGGAAAATCGAATTTTACTTGTCCCTCTGTCTTTGGAGCTATATTGATGCAATTAGGGGGGTTGGGGTGTTTGGGAGTTGGGTGTTCGGTATTGGTAGTTCAAATGTATACACAAAGTTTTGTCGGACGGTTGGTTTGAAATTAGAGATGTTTCAAGTGTATTTGAGGTCAAGAAATTGTCGAAAGCACACACAGAACACGTTTTGGACTCTAGAGCGGATCTCAGAAATAAAGCCAAGGTCGCGGGGTCATGTGTCTTTTAAATAGGTCTGGAGAAGAAATAGTTCCCTCTTTAACAGGCTGTATTTCAGTTGTTCTTGGGTCTACAGTCAAAACAATTAGTGTTCTGAAATCACCAGGAACTCCGCTATCATACACATACCCGAAATTGTTTCCTTAGAAGTTATTTTCAGTTTGCACTTGGTAAGTTTGCTTTTCAAAGAATCGTGAAGAAGTCTTGGAAAGTTTTTGAAGAGAACTTTGGCCCGGAAGTAGCACTCAGTATGGCGGCCATCGAAGGCACATCCTGGCACTTTCTGTGCACAATTTGCACAATGGTTATTGGACATTAGATATGGAAAGTTTAGAAGCTCTGCAGCTGATCATCCGTTTTGGGGGCAAACTACTCAGAAAAATGTTGAAGAACATGGCCAAACACTGAAAACAAAAATAGCTGCCAAACGGTACATTTTAGCAACTTGACCCACCAGGCAAACTTGTTGGGAATTTGATTATGCATCTGCACAAGAGATTTGGAAGTGTTGGAACTAGTGTTGGGATTTGGTTAAAATCTCATAATTGATGATTGGTTCATTACAACCGATAAATCATCGCCAAAATTGGTTAGCATCATTTATCAAAGTTTCCTGGTTAGTTTGTTAATGCACCAAAAACAAAGACAAAACATGTAGTTCTTTGGAGTGTTTTGCAAATTTTACATCTTTAAAGGATGACTAGCATGTTAGGAACATAAATGTCCTGGAGTCTTTAAGATAAATTCAATCATGACTTGGAACTAGCTTGCAGTGCTTATGAAATGTAACAGACAAAACCAACCTTGTGAAAAATATTGTTAAAGCAAACTAGTAATCCAGAATTGTTTTGTGTTTGATTATGAGAAAACATGATCGATTGCTTGGTTGTTTAGTCATTGCGACCAATCTTCGATTATTTCAATTAATCGGACCACCACTAGTTGGAACAATTAGTTCTTGAGATATTTACTGTCAAACTTTGAACTTTTGGAATTAATTTTGAATTATCTGCCCTTTCCTATTGGGCCAAGAGCCTAGAGATTTTTAAGGGGAATATCTTCACCTCCGTGGGCATCTGGGTGATTTTTTGTAAGTGATTTGGAGCCAAATGTTTGGTACAAAATCGGCGGAATAAGTAATAATAATAATTCTGCAGCCCAGTCAGCCTTCCTCCAGTAATGGCACAGAACCCGGCAAAGAATATCTTGTTCAAATCATCTGAAAACCACACAAATTTGATTAGGAGAGTGCCCGGGTTCTCCACTGGGAGCACAGCCCTTCTGACACTCTGGGTAATGCAGAAGGCTGCAGTGTTGGGAAGTCTACATATTCTCCGGAAAGTTCTTGGTGGGTTCGACTAGGCAGTGTTTCCTGGGAGAAGTCCCATTCGCAGTATGGGCTCCATGTAGAGGGGACAAGGGTCCTGAGCTGATGATGAGCCTTACCAGCCTGACTGTGCCAGGATCACCCGAACCCTCTCTACTGCATACTATTTTTAATCTGTACAACACTAATAATCCGAACGATTACAATAGGTCTCCTTGCCTGGAGGCATGGAGCCCTAACTATGTTGTCATAACTTGTACCATTTTGAATAGTATGTCTGTGAGATGAGTTTTTAATACTTTTGACTGGAGTCTTTCTCTAAGCTATTGCAAGAACATGGTGAAACTAATATTCTATATTTATATTTTCCTAATATTTGAATCCTAATATATCGCTTGACGAATAACAGATTTTTGTATGACTTATTACTTCATGATGCTAGCCTGCTGTGATCTGTTAGCAGCTCTTACACTATGTGATGTGTCTCATTGCTTTCAGTGAAATAATAATTTCCAAAAAGCTAGTCAGTTCCAAATCTGTGTACCAGGTCTTCATTTTTAAAATAAAATGTTTTATTTCATGCATTTTTTGTAGTTTAACTTATACTAGGTAACATGCTGGATATGTTATGCAGCAGTATCTATGTTGTTCAGTCAAGGTTGTTTTTGATGACAAGGACATTGAAAAGCTTGGAATGTGTTCTGAAACTATATATAAATGTTTAGGATGTTGATTTCTAATTTACTGATCCCTTTTCTATATATATACATGTAGTAGCAAAGCCAACAAGTGCCATCCAAAAAAAGGATAATTGTTGTTGGTTTGTATGTTTCAGGCAGCCTCACGCTGACCCATTTGAAGCATTACACAGCAGCGTGGAGGAGGAGTCCTCCATCATCAGTTTGTAATTGTACATCCATCAGTCATTTCTACATAATATTTACCATTAGCACAGTGTCCTTCTCTTCATATATTTATAAAGTTCACTTACACAAAAGATAAAGGAAAGTGCTATTTCAGTGTGTCAGAAAAAGCAGCCTCCCTTATATACTGTGAGAACAAGGCTTAATGCAGAAGACTTGAGTGACCTCTGATTCACCAACATACATATTTTACTAGTATATACTGTGAAACATTGCACATAAATGAAGTGGCATGTTATTTCAAAATCATTTGAAGTGATAGGGTGTATTTATGGCATTGTTAATAGGCTTCACTGCTGGCAAACAGTGTGATTGCTGTGCATCTACCTGGAGGAAAAATCTCAAAATATTGCTTAACATGTTTATCATTGACTTTGTCTACAAAATTAATGCTGACATTGTGTCATCTTTAGTTATCCCAGCAATGTGATGAATCCATATATGTCAAGAAATGCCTTTTGGTTTTACAGTTTTACGAGTCATGAAATCTGTTGACAAAATGTCAAATGTGTGTATGCTATTGCAAATGTTTCATACTTCGCTGTCAAGGAATCGGGCTGATGTTTCCAAGGTATGAAATCTGTAGCTGCAGGAAGAAATTGTAAAGTAACTATCATGGCTATAGAGAAGTTTAAAGGTGGCATGTATTGTCAAAATCGATTATCGATATTACTACATTATCATTTATGTTGGAAAATCATTGATATCTCATGTCATGGTGAATGTAATGTTTCGTCAATGAGATCCAAGATGTTTTAACTGTATGAAATGTAATCTGTACATTGTCATAGTCATTGTGTACTTCAGTTCTTATGTTGATGTAGTCATTAAAGAAGGAACATCCTTCAAAACAAACTGTTGTTGTTGGATTGTGCACATCAGTAACCTGTAGCTAGCAGAATTTGTAAAAGTTACTGGTTATTGTTGTGGTGACATGCATCTGGCAGCTGTGGCCCTTGCATGAATCCTCTCTCTTCCATCTTTAATAATTATCTTTTCATGATGTGTTGTTGTTGAAGACTTCTTTCAGTGTGATGTTAGTAAATGTCCTTGTTTCATCAAGTTTTTGGGCACCTCAGAATGATGTGGGCAATTGTTTGATGTTCTTCCTAGAGCTTGCAGACTGGAGTATCTCCTTACTTGAATGTATGCTAAAAAATGAATCAAACTAGCACTGTAAAAGTAGAACATGTTCAGATAACTCTTTGAAGAACCCAAAACAATAATTTGAAATGTCTCTTTCCCCCACAAGGTTTCCTGCTCAAAACAGTTAGGGTCTAAGTTCATACCCTGTGTCTTTTCAAGCACAAATCCAAGCAAACTTTCTCAGTATGAGCTTGTGTCAGGCTTTCTCAACAACATATTTATGAAATACAGGCATCCCTCGCCATAACGCGGGTCTTGGGGTCCATGGATGACCCCCCGCGTTATTAGACACCCGCGTTATAAGTAACGATTACATAACGCGGAACAAAGGCCAAGTAAAATCGTATTTTCCATGGACATAACAAAACTGCTATTTCGTGTATTGTGCCCAGTCAAAACTATATCGTATTGTTGGAGGTGAAAAAACTTTGTAAATAAAAAATAGATGTATGTACATGAAACTTGCAATCAAACATCACAAGACATGATAATTCAATTGTTGTTCCTGTCACGCTACCTGTTATTCAACTAAGCCGGAAATAGCAATCAGCTGGGCACACATCGATGTTTTGGTCCAATGTACCGGTGATTCATTTAAAAACAATCCGAAAATATAACATTCAAGAATTTCTATTCCATTATCAGAATAATTGATATGTCAAGCAGTTATTCTAACAGAGATCTTATATATTGCTATCAGATAAGTATAATGCATGTTTTCTACGAACATATTTAACATAATAATAAGCATTGCTAAGCACTTTGGGTTACCTGGCTGGATACATTTTTACGAGGGAGACAGTTTGACAAGTCACCGCTGACTTCCAGCTGATGCGTGCCACTTTGATTGTAAAACAAAATGTTGGCAATTAATTGTCAAATATGACTTCAACGAGTCAATAACGCTGGTCTTGGGGTCAATGGATGACAAGGCTGTAATCTGTTCGTGATTGCTGAGAAAACTGTGAAATTGGTGCTCATGTATGCGCGAAAAACGGACCCTCACGAATGTGGTAAGCGGGTGTTGTATGGAATGAGGTAATGCCATTTTACTCACGGTTTCTCCGTTGTTATTGTAAACAGTTTTAATGAATGAAAATGGGATTGAATTTAATCAAATAAAATGTGTTTTCTGACATCATACATTCTCGGATGGCGGTGTATACCCGCGCAATTACGCGGTGTGTTGCATCATAGCAACCGTTGTAAGTACTCGGCTGATGGCATGTCTTTATGATAAAGTTATTACGATGTTTCGCTGTTCATCAATTATTATTGAAAAAGACCCTGTATGTTTTAAGCATCTTAAAAAACATGGATATATACGATAAACACTGTTAATTGCAATACGCACTGAATTTCACTAGTTTACTACGTGATTAACCAGAGCTCAACAGCGGATTTGTTGATGTGCTATTTTCGATGACGTGAATATGTGTGATCACTGGGCAACTTGTTTTTATGGGAGCCACGGATTACCCCGCGGTTTAACCGAATCCGCGGTATCGCGAAGAGCGTTATTGCGAGGGATGACTGTATTGATACTTGAGGTACCTCTTGTATATCTGTGGAGAATATTTCTGACATGACATGTAAGGTTATTTTTGCAGTGGATGATGATATATGTCATTCAAGGATTGATCTGTTTTTTTGTGACTTTCAACATGCAACCTTTCTACAAGATTCATATTGTCAAACGTTCATCTATTGAAGCCATTAAGATGGCAAAAGTATATTAACTTTGCTGCTCATCTGGAAATGCCACCATGTTACTGATACATGTCTTAACATCTTTAGCTTCTATGACCCGTGAAGGTCCAGGTTAGAATATTGATCCATGCTTGTCGTAAGAGGCGACTAACGGGATCGGGTGGTCAGGCTCGCTGACTTGGTTGATACATGTCATCGGTTCCCAATTGCACAGATACATGCTCATGCTGTTGATCACTGGATTATCTGGTCCAGACTCGATTATTTACAGACCGCTGCCATATAGCTGGAATATTGCTGAGTGCGGCGTAAAATTAAACTCGCTCAATCACTCTAGCTTCTATTATGAGCCAGACAAGTCAGCTTGGGGCCCTTGCTATTAACACTCTTCCAACTGCCCTGGTCAGTGGATGGTCAACAAGGAGAAATCTGATCTCATCCCATTGCAGTATCATCTGATTGCAGTAAGCCCCTGAGAAGGCTGTTGATGTGTGGTCAGGCAAGGCGAGGGACTAGCACATGAACAGCCTCAATTATCTTGTTACAGAACCTGTTTATCCTCTGCAGTTTTCAGATCTTCGACATCTCACTAAGAAAACTTTCACAGATAACCACTGTCACAGCTGCTATGATTGGGGAAATCTATGAACTGTATGTCATGGAAGTCACTGTCAACAGGAGTAAAGCAGATAAAATCTGTTCTGGTATGTTATTTTATCACACAAAAGAGACGCGGGCCAGTAAGATAGAGGGTTTAACATGACGTGGTCGTTTTGCGTTGTGATTCAGGGTCTTTTGGAGAAAACTGAAGGTGATGCAGCAGTGTGAACTACAAGAAGGAATTATACAAGAATATCTTTCTCCAATAATCATGGTAGACCTGTTTTGCAGTGTTTGTGTTCATCTGAAATTTGTCACAAGGGTGCTTCAGTCTTACAGTTTGGTGACTATCAGTTGTCAGACATGCTAGAAGTAAGTGCATTTAAAGGTGTGTTTTATCTACTGAAAATACATATGTATAAAGCATGAAGGGTTCTTGTTGTGTTATAAACATTCATGCCCATGAACGAGAAATTATCTTCACTCGAACCCGGCCTGTGAGATTTGTGCAAATTACCCCTGAAGCAATACAGAGACATTTTAGATCTATGCTCTTGAAATATAAATGGGCCAGGAGCATAATTTCCCCCAAATCCCAAAAGAGCTTCCAGCTCATAAGTTTGTTATAGGACACAAACTCTTCCCTAATTTGAAACTAATTCCAGAAAAGAACAAAAACTAGAAGTGTTTTTTACCTAAATCGCAAAACGCACCTTTCAGCAGTTACCTTGTCTACACTAAAGACATAAGAAGTTGCTATCTGAAAGAGGCAATGATAACTTTGATTTTAGTGTTGTGTTTAAGTTGCTATCTTTCATCCCTAAGCAATATCTGGACAAGTCTCATGAGGGTCGTTTGTGTTAAATGATTTTTTATATATAATAGAAACCAAGGCTTCAGTGTGGTCAGGACATTACAAAGAAAGAGACATTGTCAGTGAAATGAAGGGAGGTTATAAACAACATTAAACACTATTCTATCAATATCTAGCAATACTCGAAAGTAGCTTCACCCATTTGGACACCTGTGGGCAATGGAACCCAATCAAAATGATGATATGAGCTAACGTTTGAACGAATAGGCTACCTTCCCCTACATACACACGAGCATGTTAAGCAAGATTCAGGCAGTTGTAATCCTTTATATATGTTACAGTCTGATTGTGGAATCAGTCATTTCGTGAAATGACTAACCTTTCCAGTCATTTCATGAAATGACTGAAATGGTGTTGTGAAAATACAAGTAACTAATAACAGACAAGTATTTGATAACAAGCTTTATTGACATAATAATTCACGAAATTACATGTTATGTCACATAATTAATGGGACCATAACTTGAACATCACTTAATAACTTAATGTACAAAAGATGATCACAAATTTCAGCATTCCTTATTTTAACAGTTAAAACTATTGTGGCAACGACTATTGGACTTCAGCTTGGCTTTGAAGCATTTACACCTGTTTGTTTGACACTTGCTGTGTCCAGAGCAGCCACACCTCACAAACCCCTGTCCACCATACATACATGACTGGGTCACAGCTTCTCTCACAGAAACATTTTTCTCTGTGTTCACATCTGTCTCTGTCAGCAGTTTCTGGGGACAGAGAACGAACTGGTTACGGGAATATTTTCCCTTGAGGATTCCAGGCTTAGTGGCGATGAAATACATGTCATTGTCCTCTCTGTCTACTATGACACCGAGAATGTTTCTTGGATCTCCCTTTCAATGGTCCACAAGTGGGATGGGCACAGCAACATTGTCACCCTCTTGTCCTGCCTTCAGTTCAGTTCGGCTTCTCTTCACCATTCTTTCTGCCTGGGAAGCTTGGGAATCTTGGGCTCCTTCACGGTGTGTGGCAATAAGCTCCTGTCGCTTGTCCAGTTCAGTGTTGTCCTGAATCAGATCACCTAGTTTCGATTCTGATGTAGATGGGGCTGTTTCAGCTTCAGGCAATGTGTCAGTTAGTGTTGTGAGATCGAGCAGATCTTGTTCTGATTCAAGTCGGCTGATAACTTATTGCAGCAGGGAGGTGGAATTAGGACCTATGCGGGTTTTGGTCCCAAACAGTGCAGCATAGGGTGTGCGGTTTATACCAGAATGGTGAGCGTTTTGGGAAAATTGGACAAATCTGATGCCCATGGGCCAGTCTTTAGTCTTGTTATCACTCATCCACACTACCAGCATGTCTTTAATGTCGTCCTTTCAACTGAACCTTGATGGCATGGTTTACCATGTACAAGTGCTAGTTTTGGCCAGACACGTCTGGCACTTTCTGATCAGCTTCTCCACCCTGCATGATCTCATACTTGATCAGTAGGTAGTACTCTTGACGACTCTTTGTGCTTGTGGACTTACTGGCATTCTTCAGTGATTCAATAGTACAAATGCTCTCC